ATAGTCTTCTCATAGGATTTTCAGGGGTATTAGAGGGAACAGCAAGAGAGGAATTAGAGTCAGAAACAGACAGGGACAGCTATACAGCCATTAAAAAGACATCTAAATAATGACCCAACTCAGCCAGCCATTGAATCTTTGCTTACTGGCAGCTCAGAGAGTCTTGTCCTTGCAGGGTGCAAAATAGTCCCCAGGGGCTACAGTACCACCCTGCACAGCCGTTCTCTTGCGTCACAGTTTTACATTCTCTTGCTGTTTGTATTGCAGCCTATAATCCCATTTCTTTACATTATTCTTTATATTAGTGTGGTTGAACTAATGTTTCCCTGCTAAATCTCTGGATAGGCTAGGCTTGTGTTTATTAAACAAGTACTGTTTAATCTGCTAAATTATTAGCAAATTGATGTGATGTACCAGGACAAAATGATGCTGCAAGGCAATTTGGAGAAGGTTGACCTGATTTGTTTCCATATCCGGTGAGAGAAGTTTATCAGCAAAAGTTAGTTACCACCTCAAGGCACAATGTCAATTATAGATGGCTAACGTTCTTAACATGAGAAAAGCATTATCATACTTGTTAATTATGATGTCATGGAATAAGGCATTTGTAACTGGTAATTGCTTCACTGATTTTCTGGTATTGCGCATGTGTGCATACACACATACATGGAGTTTCTTGGGATGCAATGGAAGTTCATTGTAGAGTGACAGATTTTTGCTCTTAAAGTTTTGCAATGTACTGCACAATGTACTGCATTAGGTGTGTCATACTTAAAAACTAAGGATGAATACAACTTTTAAGTTTATAGATGGAGTATGAGCTGTTTTTATTGTATTGAAAGTTCTCCTACAGCTCGAGTAAACATATTTAATAACCAATATTTCATATTTAGCAAACTTCTACCCTAATTAAAGCAAGATGCACAAAGTGTCAGTGCAGGAAGAACTACACAATAACAGGAGAATACTGACCACTTAAGACAGAAATTCTATTAGTTGCTGAATGAAAACACATTGTTTAATACATTATTAGCGGACCTGATGCTAATGGAAGCTGTCATAGACCCTGGAGCCAGTACACCAAAGCAAGATCACGCTTTGTCATTAACCTGGACTCTGGAAGACCCAAACTAAACTAAGCTAAAAAGTAAATTTTATTGTAAAGTGTCAGTAAGTAACATACTTTAACCTTTATTCTAAAGAGACCTTGAACCTGCAGTGATGCAAAGATTTAGGTGAAGTGGGGATAAATGCTTTGTGTATTCCGGCTGCCAAAATTTGTTAAAAGGTGCTAATGGCTCAACTGTTGAGGTGGAGGTGAGTTTGTCAACAGAACATAGTGGTTGAACTTGACAGCTCCCGTATGAGATTGTTTATAAATGTGTAAGTATCCTTACACAGTTAAGTCCTGTAAAGTCAGCCTCTCCTAGATAGAGATATGATGAAGATTGAACATTTTTTTCAGTGCTGCTGGAAATGTCGGTGAGGAGCTGGACCCTATCCTGGAGCCTCTGCTGCTGAGACAGACTTTTAACAGGTGGGGCCATTTATCCGCCTGGGAGACTCTACCATTGAATAGCTCCTGACTTTCGCTTCTACATCATACCAAGCTACGTAACCCACACTACCTGCCTCCTGAGACCTCCGTCAAGGTACTGTAGTGGGAAACTGCCTCAGGCATTTCTATTTTTCAGTGTCCCAGTACACTTTCGCTCACTTCACACAAGAAGCACATTTATTATGACATGGAAAACAACAGTGATTCTAATACTTAAATTACATACTGGAAGCATTGTGTATTGTATTCAATGGTAACATTAGAAACTTTTTTGTATTCATTCCATAAAGTTGCGACAAACAAAAGACCTGGTCCTCACAAAATGTGCTTGCGTGTTAGAGATTTAATGAAGTCCCGTCACTGCCCACCATTGTAACCTCCATCCACACCCCACCAGTCACACACAAACAAACGTAGCCAGACAGGCAGACATGAGCCTGCACACACCTCTAGTCAAGACGGCGTAATCCGAGTATTTCCTGACAGTAGCCACATGCCTGAGCTGTTTGCAGCTGGTGTCAGTGTTGTTGTAATGAGCCCTGTGCAATCCTCCATGCCTCCTCTATCCACCCCTTCCACACAGATGGAGTTGGTACCCTTCAGTCCCACCGTAGCTAAGGATATGTATCTTCCACAACAGAGCTGCTGCCAAAACAGAAGGGAGTAATAGAATACAGGGTCTCACAGAAACCAACACAGACATCTGCACTCCTCTGTATCTTAAAATATTATTTTCATCACAACTTATAGCAACAGTCACCTAGTTTGTTTGTTATCCCATAGATTAAATCCAAATGATAGAACTGACTTTCACAATACAGTTCATTATTGCTGAAGTGTAACTGCAATGCGGGGTACTGTATTTTCCGTTGGCAGTGTTGGTCATCGGTCAATCACCTTGGTCCAGACTGAAATATGTTAACAAGTATGTCATGGATTGTCAGAAAATTCATGAACATTCATGTGTCCCACTATATAAAATCTGCCATTTATGTCCCCCTCAGTGAAGTCATTATAACTTTGGTGACCCATTAACTTTAATGTAGCACCTTCATCAAGTCAAACTTACTTTATTATAATATACTTTGGTTCATTACCATATACATCCAATAATACAGACATTCCTCAGACATCTTCGCATGCTGAGCCACTAAACTAAGTTGGTTAACATGATAATCATGATCCCTACTAATCACTAGCTAACCTTAGCGTTAACGTCATTGTGAATATGTTACTTCAGCCTCACAGAGCTCAGTAGGAAGTTGTTCCTTACACTGAATAATTATTTTAGATCTTCCTTCCAAAAGACAACTTTTTTTCACTACAGAAAGAGGAGCCCTATTTTTCCTTGTTGGTTCCCAGCTAGTGCCTCATATCACTCGAATAGCAGCAGGTTTTTACCCCAGCAACACAGTGAATCATCGTTCTCTGATACCACCTCCCCAACGGAATACAGTCTCCAGAGAAAAAAAAAATCCAAGTAAGGAGCATTAAAGGAAATTGCATTACAGAGAAGCAAGGGGTTGGAAAGCATTACTGAAGATCACATTTCAAGCATCTATTTGCAGGGGCCCCGCTCTTTATGGCCAGCTATTAGATAGATTCAACTCATTTTTCACAACTGGCTCAGTCCTTCTTTTTCCCCCTTTTTTTGCCTACACACTATGATGCTTCCATTTTTCCCATTAAGCCCTATTTGAAATGCAATACTTGCAAATACAAGTGGGCAAGTATCTAGTATACCAGCCCTTAAGGAGCTCGAGGGACGAAGGGAAGCGAAGAAGGAGGGTGTAGTGTGAAAAGGACAATGGGAGATTTATGTGGGCTCTGAGTTTTTACCACCAGCTGAGTAGGTCCGCAGCATCAATAGAAATGAATTAGGCCCCGGAGAAGTGCACTCGTTTTATTAGGCAGGGAGTAGATAGCAGATATAGGCTTTAACCTCCGGGTAATGCAGAGCAGGATGACTAAGGCTGTGGTAAAAACCACTTCTTCACTTTTAGCTGTAACACTTCACAGAAAAGAAAAAACAGTAAATGCATCCTACCTGTACCTTGCCAAGGGTAGAGTGGTTATTGGAATTGATTGGATAGGAGGTCTTGGGGGAACAGCTCTGGAGCCAAGATAATCAACGCCATACTGTAAAGTACCTCAGTTAAATGTCCGAGAGCAAGGGGGGCAAGACACCCCCATCACCTAACCTATACGCACACACTTATTTGTACATGTTTGTGCCTGTATTCTGTACTCTATGTATTACATCCTCTGTGCTGGCTGTAGGTGACCCTTCTGAACTTCATGATCACCCCAGAGGGCATCCAGGACCAGCTGCTGGGCATTGTGGGGCTCGGGAAAGGCCTGATCTGGAGGAAGAGAAACAGGCTCTCATCCTGCAGGGAGCAGAGAAACAAAAGTACAGTACACCACCAGACTCGAGCAGAATAATTTCAACTAATCAAATAAAATTTCTCCTTCCTCAAAGTGGAAACTGAAGACATGTTAAATCCTTCCTTTTTTGTCAGACAACTGAAGGAGATTGAGGACAAAATCTTAGAGGTGCTCTCCTCTTCTGAGGGCAACATCCTGGAGGACGAGACGGCCGTCAAAATCCTCTCCTGCTCCAAAGTGCTAGCCAATGAGATCACTGAGAAGCAGGCTGTGGCTGAGAAGACAGAGCAGAAGATTGATGAGACCCGCATGGGCTACACTCCCATCGCCGTGCATTCAGCCATCTTGTTCTTCTCCATTGCTGACTTGGCTAACATTGAGCCCATGTACCAGTACTCCTCACCTGGTTTATTAACCTCTTCATCAGCTCCATTGACAACTCAGACAAGAGCGACGACTTGCAGCAGAGGTAAGCAGGGCTGGCAAATGCACTAACCAAATATGATTGAAAAAACATTGTAAACTGTTAAAAACAAAAGGAATGTAAGACTAGTAATAGGGATGAGTGTGGGTGAGGTTGTGAACTTGTTGTGTTTCTGTTTGGTTTGGAACAAGATTATTAAAGTGTTAGCACATGTATCTTCTTCAGACTACAGATCCTGAGAGACCACTTTACCTACACACTATATGTCAATGTGTGTCGCTCGCTGTTTGAGAAGGATAAGCTGCTCTTTTCCTTCTGCCTCAGTGTCAATCTGCTCATGCACAACAAGCTGGTAGGAATATACAAAGGCTGCACACATGTACACGCAATCAGTGCTCTTTGTGATTGCTATAGATTTTCTGTATGTTGTTGTTGTTTCAATTTGCATAGTATTTTTATTCCAAGATAATCTCCCAGATGGTCAACCTTCAAATCACAAATTCAGGTTCAACAACTCCACTGTGTTAACACTTCAGTAGCTGCATGACGGTAATTCATGTCATAGGTGGATGAGGGCGAGTGGCGCTTCCTTCTGACGGGCGGTGTGGGCCTGGACAACCCCTATCAAATCCCTGCATCTGGCTCCCCAAAAAGTCTTGGGATGAGACTTGCCGCTTGGATGAGATGGCTCATTTCAAAGGTCTGCGTCAAGACATGGCTCGCCTCAGGAATGAGTGGAAGAAGGTCTACGACAGCCCAGTGAGTGTCATGAAGCTGACAGGCTGGTCTGGTGGGGCTCTGTCTGTGGGTGTTGTATATGTTTCTGTGATGCAAGGCAAATTTAGTCAATATGCACATTACTATGGCGGGCATGGCTGGTGTTCTGTTGAAGAAACTATAAATGTGTTGTGGTTAGCAGTTTAGACTGTGTCACATTTAGCACAACACAATGTTAAACCACAAAATAACAAATCACATTTACAGAGTCTTCTGCCTCTAAGACCACCAGCAGATTTAATTGTGAAGGTGCCACAGGAGCAAAGTCTATAGAGCAAATGGTAAAGATATTTAGGGTTTTTCCAGAGATTTTGTCAACAAACAGTGGATCTGGACACTAAGGCCTTAAACACACAGTCCTAGGCAGAACTGCTTGACACCAAACTTGAGCAATTATTTGCCTGTGAAGAGAGGGCAAACCTTGTATGAGTGCCGCTCTGGCTGTTCGGCTTGATTTACTTCAAAGTTCAAATAATTCAAAATGTAACCCTTTTTGCAGCCAATCTTTCAAAGTGTGCCCAATCAGATAATGTCGGACCAAGTAAGTTAAGTATAGAGCAAACATCTCTTTCCAAAAATACAATATTGCAGAATTTAAGTATACAGAGGTAAAGACATTGTTTGAGTGGAATGCAGTCAAACCTCAGCAAAACGGTGTTAGTGAGGTCGGACGAGAAATGGAGCAAGTGCAGGCCAGCTTCGCCCACGCTGCAGCTCAGCTGGGTAGCCAGTGGGATCCCTTAACACTCCCAACTAACTGCACTGTGGCTGAATTAGCAGCAGCCCCTCCATTCAGTGTACCGCTATATATGCTCAAATTTCACACACTGTTTCATACTATTCTTTTTCTGTTAGATAATGTTAATAAATACACACCGTATATTAACAATAACATGCCTACTACATACTGTTTAAATCAGTTGTTACTCTATCTTGTAAGTATTCACTGATTCAGTGATCCAGATTTAACGGTTTAACTTATAACTTATGTCAAATAACTGAGTTTTATTAGTTTAAATGTAGTAAAAGGGGAGAGGGAAGAAAGAAAGTGGGAGGTAAGTAATTTGCCTGTCAGGTGTAGATGATGCACACATGCTCCCTCCCCCGTCTTTGAATTGTAAAGACTCTAAAATTGAAGTTTTATCTAATTAAATCTTTTTTGTTCCTGTTGTGCTAGTCACATCCATGCAATCTAGACACAAGAACAGCTGTTTAATCAACGTGTGGTGCCCACAAACATGTGTGCGGCACACATGCTTGTCTCTTTGCTGTCACACACATACACACACACACCATCTTTGATTTATAATCAACAGAATCAGCCACAACACTTCTATCTAATTAAATCTAGTTTGTTCCGTTGTGGAATTCACATTTATTCAATCTCGACGCAAGAACAGCTGTTCAATCAAGCGCACAAGCACTCAGGCTCACACGCACTAACACACCCCTGTACACAAAGAGGAGCCCCAGGAGACCCTAAATAGGTGAATCCGTCTCAGAGCACCTGCCAACACACATAGCCAGAAGTATCTCCACAAACAGCCTGGGGAAAATAATTCCAAAAGTTCCCGCTACCATTGCTCACTTCCTCTGGAACACTTGTTCTACGAATGAATCAAACATATTGCTCTGACCCAGTACCCAGTGGCTTTTCTGTTCCCCCACATCTTTCCCTTCCGCTCTTCCACAGTCTTTGCTTTTTCATACATATTTATCTAGCTCCTGGTACGCATTACTGTCCTCCCTATTCACATTACAGATTACCCCTCTTTTTGCTTAATTACATTGCTTAATCTTGCAACAGCTCGATACAATGCAACCCCACCCCAGAACGTCCCTTGTCCTCTCCAAGGAAAGTTGACAAAAAGGCATTTAGCTGCATGTTTCTTGAAGGTGACCTGATGAATTTCCTCATTCTTAACGGCATTAAAAAATGTAATTTTGTCATCTGTGTTGCTTTTTCAGGTATTCCTCTGGTACCTATAAAAACCACACTTCATGACTTAGGCGTTTTTTATTTTGTTCAACCCGTTACTACAGGATCTTCTATCCAGTGTGGAATCTGAAGTTACTCCTAGATATATATGTGCTGTGTGAATTTAGTATGGGTTGTGTTGTGCACATCTGCAGAACCCCCATCAAACTCCCTTCCCTGATGAGTGGCAGGAGAGGCTAAGCCAGTTTCAGAGGATGCTGGTGATCCGCTGTCTCAGACCAGACAAGGTCAGTACTGAGTTGGAACAGTCGGCAAATTACGTCAGGTTAAAAGGACACAGAATACACATTCCATTTATGTGTCTCCCAGGTTATTCCCATGGTACAGGAATTTGTTTGCAACAGTTTGGGTCGTCCCTTCATCGAAGCGCCACCCTTCAACCTGAGTAAGGCCTTCGTTGATAGCCACTGTTGTGCCCCCTCATCTTCATCCTCTCCCCGGGCTCAGACCCCATGGCTGCACTGCTCAAGTTCGGAGATGAAAAGGTATGGAAACACCTGGGAAATTCAGCAGCTTTGAAGCCTGCTGTGTGTGCAAACTCAAAATGAAAGGAGAAATTGAATCCTCTAGGTTTCCCAGACTCCCACACAGGTGTTATACACACTGAAAAGTATTTTGTCTCCTTCCCGTTCAAACAGCAGCTACATAAGTGTGTGTGTGTGTGTGTGTGTGTATATATGCACTGCTGTTCTGATCCCTTAGGGCTTTACGGGTAACAAGCTGACCTCCCTGTCTCTGGGACAAGGCCAGGGTCCTATCGCTATGCATATGATTGAGACAGGCATTAAAGAGGGCACCTGGGTGGTTCTGCAGAACTGCCACTTAGCCACATCGTGGATGTCAACACTGGAGCGAGTCTGTGAGGTCAGAAGACGCACACACACACACACACACACTTTCTATACAACAGATGGGAACAGTGCAAACACATGTCTTCTAATACATTAATTTTTTTTTCTTTATGGCTGTGAGCAGGAGCTGAACCCAGACACTACTCACCCAGACTTCAGGCTCTGGCTGACTAGCTACCCGTCTCCCACTTTCCCCGTGGCGGTGCTTCAGAATGGAGTGAAGATGACCAATGAGGCTCCGAAGGGCCTTCGCGCCAATATTGCACGTTCCTTCTTAATGGACCCCATCTCTGACCCAGAGTTTTTTGCCAGCTGCAGCAAGCCGGTCAGTGTGTGCGTGCAATTCTCTGTGTGTATCCAGGTGCCTTGCTGTTGCATATCTATCATGCCTACATCAGTGGGTGTCCTAAGCTCCTTTGTGTCTTTTATCACCTCAGCTGTGCATTTCAGAGTGTGTTTGTTTGAGCTGTTGAAATACTAAACGACCACCACTATTGATCTAATTATTTTTCTAAGGCCGCACTTCCATTTATGCTTATCCACCTCTCAGGCTGTGTTCAAGAAACTGCTGTACGGCCTGTGTTTCTTCCACGCCCTGACCCAGGAGAGGAGGAAGTTTGGACCTTTAGGCTGGAACATTCCGTATGAGTTCAATGAGACCGACCTCCGGATCTCAGTACAGCAGCTGCACATGTTCCTGGAGCAGTACCAGGTAGTTGTTTTTAAAATGTCTTTCCTTTCATGGATGCTTTTTTATATTTCTTTCATGAATTATGATTTTCCTGTAACTCAGTTGACACTATCAAGTTTCCCCAAGTACTAAATTCCATGCAGTGAGGGATGCAGGCAGGTGTATACTACCACAGCATTGTTCTGTCATACATACAGACTATTGAGACTTTTAAAAAAGGACTATTGCACTATTTATCTGTATTTTACACTGATGTTTTTACCTTGCTTTTATGATCTTACCTGTAGCACTTTGAGGTTTTTCTTAAATGTAAAGTGCATTAGAATAAAATGTAGAATATATATATATATATAATATATATATATATATATATATATATATATATATATATATATATATATATATATACACTTTGCATACACATACATGAACGTACTATATATCTTTGGCACAAAATAATACTCTGACTGTCACTTGCAGATGCACACTATTCAGCATCTAAGGCCATAATAGAAATTCTGGCTTTTAGAAGTGCGTTCCTCTTCTCTCAAGTATCTGCTTTCATCAGCCATATTCAAAAACCCTCTTGACATTTTTCTACAAACCGATAGCACTCCAGCATTCCACCATTTCCAGTTCTCAATAAACTACTGAGGGTGTCTTTTGGACAGAGTGACATTTTCATCATGTTACCAAGTGTCGCCCACTGAATTTGTAAGTGAATTCCTCCTCCAGAAAATGCCACAATGGCCACAACCCCACCCTTTCACCTCCTATTACGTCAGTTTCCATTGCAAGTCAAGGTCGTAAAGTGAATTTCAGCCAGGTTTTGAAGAACATACACACAACACAACTAAGATTGCACACACATTTGACAACCTGCATTTCTCAATGCTCACCTGCTCTTAAAACATTCAACCATAATACATGGTTATTCTTAGGTTCCAGTTTAAAATGCACCCTTTGTTTGCTGCAGGAAGTGCCGTTTGATGCCCTCCGCTACATGACTGGTGAGTGTAACTATGGAGGCCGCGTGACAGATGACTGGGACAGACGGACCCTGCGCACAATCCTCTCTATTTTCTACACCTCAAAGCTCATCGAGGACCGGGACTACAAGTTTGATCCCAGCGGGCTCTACTATGCACCAGATGAAGGAGATGTAAGAAACAGAAAATCCCACAAAAGTGCTATAAATCATTGCAATCACCAGGTTTAGCATCAAGAAGGATTTTTTTTAGCTTAGATTTGGCTGTAAACACAAAGGATGCATAGAAGATTTAAAGAGATTACAAAATTCCACATGTTATTACCAGGGGAAATTAGTACAGTATTTTGGCATAGAGTTGGGCAAAGTCTGTTTTTAGATACAAAGCAGGGGGCTGTTTTTTACTTTATCATCTAAGATATGCAGGTACTTATTCTACACTCACCTAAATATTCACATACTCTGTTTTCATTGTATTCAACATAGTCTGACCTTTTTAAAATATAGTACACTGCAGCCTTGAATATGTTATGCAGCATCTTATTTAAATCTTATTATCAAAAGTCTTTTATTTATATATCTTCCAACAATGTGGCATTCCTTTAGTTAGGACAGCAAAACTGAAATAGTTCCTTGGCTTGTACCCATCAGTTACCAGGAGGTGCTGGAAGTATCTTTGCCTTAAAAACTCAAGAAAAGTTAAACTCACTTTAATGTGTTTGTTTTTAAACTAAGCATATTAGAGGACTCACAGTTGCTTAGCACTGTTGTTGAGCTACCTTTAAAAAGTCATTAGGAGACAAAATGTGTGTAACAAGGCACAGCAGGCAGCCACCATCAGTGAGGGTTGATATATTTGTTAACACAAGTGCAATCTATGGTGCGCTCAATTTTATTTGGCATTTTGTTCTCCAGTGCTGCGCCCCCCCTCCAACCACATCTTTTATTCATGAAGTCACATTTACATAGTCATTATAATAAATGTCAGCAATCTAAGGAGCTGACTTGTTTTTCAATGCGTGTTATTACTCGAGATGTTTCCTGATGTTGCGTTAAAAATTGTCCTCTTACTTCACTCCTCTCCTCTCCCTCTGTTTTCTGCATCTCTGTTGCAGTACAATAGCTACATAGAATATACCAAGTCGCTGCCTCTCAACCCGTCGCCGGAGATTTTTGGCATGAACGCCAACGCAGATATCACCAAGGATCAGGCTGAAACACAACTGCTGTTTGACAGCATCTTGCTTACACAGGTAAACCCACATGGACCGGTGAAACACCAGCTATCGTATTGATTAGCTGTCAGTCAGGAACTAATTAACACGCATGTACAAGTGCTTAAACACACACACATTGAAAAAATATCAAACTGTTTACATTCATCTTTGGATGCTCAAACCTCATCATGTCAAGTATTTCCTTTGAGCCATTGTAACTAAGATTTCCTAAATATTAATGTCATTATAATACTGAAGACAGAGGGCAATGTGATCCTGAATTCGTTATCATACCATTAAATGAACATGGGTTTTTTTGACTATAAAATTGGGCAAGAAATATCAGACACGAAATAGCTCTGTGGCCTGGCATGGGTACAGGTGAAGTTCGCTGATTTTCAGTGCCAGCAGCCCTGGGTCGCTTCCCAAACCAATCCGCCCCCTTTTGGCCAACATCCCAGATGCTCAGTTGGAAAACCACTACTCAGCCAGTGCATCACATGCACATACACACAAAACAACTGAAGTACACAAATTAAAACACATGCATCGAGACACTGAAATACTGTCTCACAACATCAATATGCTTCTCCCCGAGTTTCTACCAACTTATCCATGTCAGCATTAAATATTTATTGCCATCCATTAAAATGTGCTATGCAACATTAATTAAAGAGAAAAAATATAAATAAATATTTTAGTTGTTTGTTGAGAGACTTCTCAAAGAACAGAAAAAAATCCCTCTTATTAGGTTGTCGTCCTTTGGCACTGCAAAGGCACAGTGTGACTCACAGTGGCTTTGGCGGAGCTGTGTGATCCCACATCATTATATCTCTGCTCTGTAGAGTAGGTTCACTTGTTCAGAATTATATCTTACCACTTCCCAGCTCCAGTCAATGTTGGCTACAAATCAAATATAAGAGATTTCACATCAAGACCTACACGAAGACAAAAAGTATGGCTTCTCCTGCAAAGTGGAAAGGGATATTTATTTATCTGCGTATCCATTTATTTATTTTAGGATACAGAGCAGTGCCTCTCACTTAGCAAATACATCTCACTGTGCCAAAACTTATTTAAATTCCTGTGGGAATTAAACTTAATACTGCAAGTAAACTAAATATAGAACCAGAGTGTCATATGTGCACGCTTTAACATACTCTGCATGCATCCTATACATTTTTATTGTCTGATTTAAGCTACCAATATACAGAACACATACTGTATGCTGTCATAAACACCAAACGCTTATTTAGACAGGTACAGACCTGGCTCACTACAAACAAATAGTTGACAGCAAACAAAGTTATTTTAACAGGCATTGCCGCTTCAAGTTAAAATTAGAGATCAATGGAGTCTGACATTTATTCATATAAACTCCTTTCAACAAGATTAATAATGGCTTCAGTCATGTGTGGACTTTATTAGCATCTAATACGCTCTCATCAGTCTCAATGACCGATAAACAGGGAGCCGCTTCAAATGGAATGAAACAGCTATTTGTCATTCCCGTACTGTAACACCAATGCTATTAGCCAATGATTATCCATTACCGCTGGGCTAGTTACTGAGCATCAAATAGGTAAATGGTGCAAGTTGGACTGAGAGGAAAGTGGAAGGATCACAAATTAGAGTGAATGATTATCAGCATGAATGATTATTATAATTGTTGATAAGGTTGTGTCATTTTTCTGTATGAGACAAATTGGGGGAAATGATGTGAAGCCTTCCATCTTATCTGTGTGCGTGTGTGTGTGTGTGTGTGTGTGTGTGTGTGTGTGTGTGTTTGTTCGTAGAGGGATTCAAGGGAATTTATGCTTAGGATCTCATCATCTGAGGTGTTACAGTGGTAGCTGTAGGTTAGCCTGAGAAATATCTAGGGTAGTAAAAATAAAGAGGTAAATCATATGACTGTGATATTGTTTTTCATTTTGTGCCCTTTTAGAAGCATGAATCTAAATCAATCTGGCACAAAGATGATGAAATATAAGCAAAGTCAAATCAGAAGTCAGAACCTCTTAAAATCAGGGCCTTTTCAGGATCAAAATAGCACCAATGCAAAATACTCCTAAAAAGGGAATACATAATTTGACAAGTCAAAGACGGCAAAAGATCATTTTCCCAGAAAATGATGAACTGTCAAAGCTATCCGAGCCACAAGTCCTGCCTCCCCTTCTCATCCGTCCTCTGTCGCTGTGTGTGTCTCTGATCAGTCCCGCTCTTCGGGCGGAGATGCCAAATCCTCCGATGACATGGTCTTTGATGTGGCAGCTGACATCCTGAGCAAGCTGCCTGGAGACTTTGACTTGGAGGCAGTGATGAGGCGCTTTCCCACCAGCTACAATCAGAGCATGAACACAGTGCTGGTGCAGGAGATGGGCCGCTTCAACAACCTGCTCTGCACCATCCGACGCTCCTGTGTCAACATTCAGAAGGCCATAAAGGTACGCAGGAGGAGCTGGTAGAGATGGGATTAGGTGTAAAAGAAAAGTTCATGTTAGCAGTAAGGACTAGATGTTGTTTGGTTTTGAACTCAGTCCTGATCCCATTCACAGGGATTGTTATTATGGATAATTATTGCACAGTATATGGCCAAATGCATTGTAATTACTCCAAATTTGTTTGTTTTAGATAAACAGCGAGGCCAAATGATGAATCATCATTGATTTTACATTTGTGTGCAGTGAGAGCAATATTTCACTAGAGGAGGCACACCTCTGCTGAATGATTACAGGGGGAATGCGGGTAATACATCTTCAGAAATCAGATGCTGTATGCATTCAGTACAACACTCCAAATGCACTAATCTAACACCATAATTGTCTTTTTTCAACACTTGGGTTGTAAATGTGAAAGTTTAGGGGCAATTTGTGCATATTAACTATGAATCTATATGTACAGTATGTTTCTGTATTTTGTGTCTTACCTGCAATTAGTTAGATTATGCACTCGGGAAAGGTATAAAGCAATGAGCTGTAGAGAAAATGAAATGTTGACCTTGAATGAATGACAGGAGTACAGCAGCCATGTAAATCTCTAAATCAGTAACTAGTGCTCTTGACCTTCTCTTGGTGCTCTATTCCTCTGTAGCATAGAAAAGGACTGTGCTCACACCCTTAAATACAGTATCTCCAGTTCTGGGATGCCGTTGTGTATTCATACCACTTAGATTTGCCTAGACTGTACAGTGTAATCTACAGCCATGCTAGCGGCTCTTTGAGACTGTAATTCGGCACAGCGGTGCTTTGAGCTAAATGTCAACATGCTCCCGTTAGCATGCTGATTATTAACAGGTAAAATGTTTGCCATGTTCAAAATCTTAGTTTAGCATGTTAGCAAGTAATTGGTTTGACACTCGAGTTGTGGTTTTGCTGTAATCGGATCCATTAAAAAAAACAAGAAGGAGGGTGCTGCAGTAGTTGGCAGTAACCCCAACTGCTGCATGTGATGTGCTAAAACCCTTGACAGTTAAGATCCAAAATACAGCTATGATAAAGCCTTTGTACAATTTCATAAAAACCCAAGCCTGCACTTGAAGAAGTGAATGCATCTACTGAGGCAGGTCAAAACATCCTCAGTGAAAGAAATTAACTGACTTTGAATTTCCAAAAGTTTGGAGATTTCACACGTCAGGACATAGCCTGTAATTACACTGCATTAGACTAGTCAGGCTGTAATTATTTAGTTCATAGAATTATTTAGTTCAGTGTTGCGAACTAAAGAACATCATCTGAATATATGTGCTTGAATATGTTGTGCCTTGCACTTCTAATTACACCACATTCACAAAAAAAACGTGCTTGAACACACACGTGTGTCTTTATACCGTTTAATAAACAAACTTTATACACATTTCCGCTTCTTCTGAGATGCACCAGTCTCAAGGGGTTGAATTGGAGAGAGCAAAAAGGGTCAGGAAGGGGAATGAGCACATCGTCTTTCAGACTGGGATCAAAGGCCCCCCTGCTGAGCGGCAAGAGTTCCCATTATGTGGCTGTCTGTCACCTATCTCCTAAGAGACATTTTTGAGTGACTAGCTTGAATTTCTCTCACATTTGATTCAGCGTTAGAACAGGGCTCAAACCACCTCCCATTTTTCAAGTAGAGAAGATGTTAATCAGTTAGTTTGTGCGTTCATGTGCAGGGGCTGGAGGTGATGTCTGCGGAGCTGGAGGAGGTGGTCAGCAGCATCTTGAAGGGCCGTATCCCAGGCATGTGGATGAAGAAGTCCTACCCCAGCCTCAAACCGCTGGGAAGCTACGTCAATGACTTCCTGGAGCGACTCAGGTTCTTACAGGTACTGAAACCTGCCGTGAAAATTCACAACAAGATGCTGAAAAATGAAAGAAGTATGTTGGAGAAATAAGGCAGGGTACAAATAAAAATGAAAGAAACAGAAATGAGACGGAAAATAATCCGTAATCTCATAATCACTCTTATAGCAGAGCCAGATTAGTGCAGACATATCACCACGGTCACTCCTCCACTGAAAGGCAAATACCTAACAGTCAGCATACACATGGAAAACACTTCTTAAAGGTTCAGTGTGTAAGATTTAGTGGCATCTAGTGACTTATGAACCATGGTTACATAATGGTTTATTATGTAAGGTCTTTACACACCACTGAAAACATAGTTATGGATCTTATATTGCATTTCTGTCGATAGATCCTCAGAAATATTACACACTGAACCGCACAAACAGATTTATTCTTTGTTTAGGATAAGGATACTTCACCAACGTTGAGCTACTTAACACAGATACAGAGATTAAAATAAAAACTAACATTAAATGTCTTAGCAAGGTGTTGGGCCACCACAAGCCTCCAGAAGTACCATAGTGCTCCTTGTCATAGACTGAACCATGTTTCAGTGGTGAGGAGCTTGTATCACATGAAAATGTTGCATCAGTGCAAGCTGTGCCCTCTACAGTGAACTGAACCTTGTCATGGAAATTGTATATTACTGGTGAGGGACTGAGCAAATAATTGAGTTACGACAAACAGTTGTCTTTGAAGAATTTATTAATAAAAGAGAAGAAACAGAGAAGTACTATAACACATATACAGCTGGTCCAGCGACCTGCCGCCTAGGGCAGCTTCGGGCATCTGGCCCCGAGCAAAGGGATGCATAATCATTTACACAGTCTAGGTTTCTATGTTTTGGGGAACAGAGATCCTCTCCTCTCCTTGAATGCACATTCGAGGAGAGGAGAGGATAGTAATAATAGTAATAGTAATAATGATAGCAATAATAAAAGCATGCAAAGATTAAAAGTAAAAGGAAACAATTTTCTGCCATAACAAACCTCTGCCTTAAGCTGTGTCACACTTGAGTTATACAAGACACAAAGGAGGTGGGTGGATCTAGTTATGTTTCTCACTCATGGGCAGAGTTAGTACGGGAAACACATGCAGACACATGACTTACGTTCATCCAACAGTCAGTTCTCATGTTTCCCTTTCTAGTTCCACTGGAGAAAGACTTTGTTCCTCCTGTTCATCCTTAATCAGTGGAGGGAAAAGAATGTACAGTGTGTGTGTGTGTGTGTGTGTGTGTGTGTGTGTGTCCACCATGACTCCCCACAGGGTGAACTGGAAAGTCAGGTGTTGCTTATCTGAGACAGCTCGCTTTCTTAACAGAATGCCTTGACATTTTAGAAAACATGATTATTTGCTGTTGAGAAGAAAAACACCAGTTTCATCTCAGTGTGTTCGCCGGGCTGATTTTCCCACGACATTTCAGCCTAGCTTACAGGAACACAAAGATGTATCTTACACAGTTCCAGTTACAGGTGAAAGGTCCAGCTTTTGGTAGATAATAAATAGTTCCAATGGGTTAACTATGCATATTTAATATACACAAGCTATAGTGAGCCTTCTAGTTTTTTGTACTAAGCTCAGCAAACGTGTTCGGGCATTTTCTACTGAGCGCGCAGCGAAAAAACTGATGTTGTTGTTCTCATCCCACACAGGAAACAAGCATATTTTCATTCACTATGAATAAACAGGCAATAGATAGATGGAACATACAAAAAAAAAAGGGAAGTTTATGACAACTGCATGCACGTTGCGGTTCCTCGCCGGTTTATTTCAAGTAGCCGGCTGTTTAAAAACCATAAAATATTCTTTGTGTGGTTCATCAACAGTGGTAAATTATCCAAAAGTCCCGCGAGGGATTTATTTGGATTTATTCATGCATTTTAAAACCATTTATTGAAAGTTTTAGTCTTTTTACAGCATTAAAGGTTGAAATGTGTATTGTAACAGGCTGTATATTAACTTAATGGGAGAAAACTGGTAGTTCTATGTAAAATCAGACGTTGAGCTCCCCCATATCGCCAAAATGGCGTGATCGTTGTTTCGCTGCAAAGCTTTGACTGTGAGATTGACAGTCAAATCAGGCTCCGCCCATCAAAGCATCAAGTCTTCCACTATTGGGGGTCAGCCCTATTAGGAACACAGCAAGTTTCCAATTTTGTCAAAACTCTACTTTTCTCTCTGGTGAACCAAAGTATAATTACAGTAAACTCAGAAATTTTACATAGAGCTTAATTACTTCCTCCAAACTTAAAAAATGACTCTATCTGGCATGGTTATTGGCAGGTTGGGTACTTTAATCCGCATGCTGTGTTGTGTGGATTAAAGTGCTAAATCCTAATGGACTGAAGTGATTAACTATCAGCATCTATGAATATAAAGCTCTCTGTTTGTCCTGTTTGTTTGCTGAGGGTCCTGGGCTGCGCAGCTTTTCTCATAAAAGGCTTGCCTTTTCGGCTGCCAAGAGGGTGATTTAGTTCAATTGTAAGGTTTGACAGCATATTTGGTTTTAGTCGTGCTAGTGGTATGGATCAGTGGATGGCAATACTCTCGAACTCTCGGTCCACCATTTTGGTCCAGGCTGAAATATCTCAACATCGGATGGAATTACATCTTTGTCAAGCTCTTTATGACCAAACACCTGCAAAACTAAAGACATCTGTACTTTGTATTCAGTGCCAGTTAGCAAATGTTTGCACGCTAACATGCTGTTGAAGTGTTGTTCAATTTTGCAATTTAAGTATGTTTTTCCTTTTTCATTGATTAAATACATCTATGAATGCAAAACTGTAAAAGAAAAGTGTGTTGTAACCTAAACCTAACCAAGAACCCCCAACCATCTCAACCCATCTGAAAGCCACTGGGTCCTCTGAGTTCTGGCTGGTTTTGCTTATAAATGTCTGCTGTGTTTTCAGGACTGGTGTGATCAGGGTACGCCTGCTGTATTCTGGATATCAGGATTCTTCTTCACCCAGGCTTTCCTCACAGGCAGCCAGCAGAACTATGCCAGGAAACACACCGTCCCTATTGACTTGCTCGGCTTCGACTTTGAGGTCCTGGATGACCACGAATATAAACACCCTCCAGAGGATGGTAGGATACTAACGGTGTTATGGGAGAAGATAGACTGAGTGTGTTTAGGGAGAAGAAGGTCGGTGGTTTAATAGTAGAAGGATGTTAGGATAGCTTTTGTTAGGATCAAATGGCTCATTCAGCAAATCATCTCCTCGTTTAATGAAGGTAGAAAAAGTACAGCAGGAAGATCACTTGAAGAGGGAAGGAGTCAGAAGGAGTTTCAAAAGTGTACAAGACATTTCAAAGCGGAAAGTGAAATAAGCAGTAGGTGGAAGAGAAGAAACAAACAGATGAAAACTGACATTAGGCTGCCTGAATATAAGAGAGTGTAACGTGTGAAAGTAAGTTAAAGCAAAGCCTCCTTGCCTCTCATCTGCATGCAGGCCTGCGTCAGCCCCTCGCTGTGCCTACAGACTGAGATTCTCAGTCAAAGTCTAGCAGAAAGCCTCACCCTCAATCAGTCCCCAGCTGGGGCCCCATCACACTAACACAGCCTACACTGCCGAGCTACAAATCCGACAGCGTGTGTGCATTGGAGTGCGTGATACTGACAGGATGCCAACAGTCAGTTATCTCTAAATCTCACCCTGTTTTCTCCCCACCCTGTTAGTAGGACAGCTCACATGCTTAATGACAACAGCACAGAGGTCAGTTCAGATTCATCAAGTTTTACAGATGCTAGAAGAGGCGACACGCAGAGTAGTCGCAGGGTCGAAGCTAAGCTAGCTCTCGTGTACCTCTGAATTGTCTCTGTTTGTGTGCGACACTCAGGTGTGTACGTTAGAGGGCTGTTTCTTGATGGCGCCCGCTGGGACAGAAAGACCAAACTTCTCGCTGAGTCCTACCCCAAAGTGCTGCATGACCCCATGCCTGTGGTGAGTAGCACACACACACACACATGCCGTTTTTCCATTACCGGTACCAGCTCAGCTCGACTCGGTTTGGCCGTCCTCCGTTTTCCATTGCAGATAGTAGCCGGTAATGTAGCTGGTCGTCATAGTGACACACTAAACTGCCGTGACGTACAGTGGGTACGGAAAGTATTCAGACCCCTTTAAATTTTTCACTCTTTGTTTCATTGCAGCCATTTTCCAAAAATCAAAAAAGTTCATTTTATTTCTCAGTAATGTACACTCAGCACCCCATCTTGAGAGAAAAAAACAGAAATGTAGAAATTTTTGCAAATTTATTAAAAAAGAAAAACTGAAATATCACATGGTCATAAGTATTCAGACCCTTTGCTCAGTATTTAGTAGAAGCACCCTTTTGATCTAATACAGCCATGAGTCGTTTTGGGAAAGATGCAACAAGTTTTTCACATCTGGATTTGGGTATCCTCTGCCATTCCTCCTTGCAGATCCTCTCCAGTTCTGTCAGGTTGGATAGTAAACGTTGGTGGACAGCCATTTTCAGGTCTCTCCAGAGATGCTCAATTGGGTTTAAGTCAGGGCTCTGGCTGGGCCATTCAAGAACAGCCACGGAGTTGTTGTGAAGCCACTCCTTCGTTATTTTAGCGGTGTGCTTAGGGTCATTGTCTTGTTGGAAGGTAAACCTTCGGCCCAGTCTGAGGTCCAGAGCACTCTGGAAAAGGTTTTCGTCCAGGATATCCCTGTACTTGGCCGCATTCATCTTTCCCTCGATTGCAACCAGTCGTCCTGTCCCTGCAGCTGAAAAACACCCCCACAGCATGACGCTGCCACCACCATGCTTCACTGTTGAGACTGTATTGGACAGGTGATGAGCAGTGCCTGGTTTTCTCCACACATACCGCTTAGAATTAAGGCCAAAACGTTCTATCTTGGTCTCATCAGACCAGAGGATCTTATTTATCACCATCTTGGAGTCCTTCAGGTGTTTTTAGCAAACTCCATGCGGGCTTTCATGTGTCTTGCACTGAGGAGAGGCTTCCGTCGGGCCACTCTGCCATAAAGCCCCGACTGGTGGATTGCTGCAGTGATGGTTGACTTACTACAACTTTCTCCCATCTCCCGACTGCATCTCTGGAGCTCAGCCACAGTGACCTTTGGGTTCTTCTTTACCTCTCTCACCAAGGCTCTTCTCCCCCGATAGCTCAGTTTGGCCGGACGGCCAGCTCTAGGAAGGGTTCTGGTCGTCCCAAACGTCTTCCATTTGAGGATTATGGAGGCCACTGTGCTCTTAGGAACCTTAAGTGCAGCAGAAATTTTTTTGTAACCTTGGCCAGATCTGTGCCTTGCCACAATTTTGTCTCTGAGCTCTTCAGGCAGTTCCTTTGACCTCATGATTCTCATTTGCTCTGACATGCACTGTGAGCTGTAAGGTCTTATATAGACAGGTGTGTGGCTTTCCTAATCAAGTCCAATCAGTATAATCAAACATAGCTGGACTCAAATGAAGGTGTAGAACCATCTTAAGGATGATCAGAAGAAATAGACAGCACCTGAGTTAAATATGAGTGTCACGGCAAAGGGTCTGAATACTTATGACCATGTGATATTTCAGTTTTTCTTTTTTAATAAATTTGCAAAAATTTCTACATTTCTGTTTTTTTCTGTCAAGATGGGGTGCTGAGTGTACATTACTGAGAAATAAAATGAACTTTTTTGATTTTTGGAAAATGGCTGCAATGAAACAAAGAGTGAAAAATTTAAAGGGGTCTGAATACTTTCCGTACCCACTGTAATTTTCAATGCGGCACACAAACAGCTGTCTCTTGATTTAAGTTAAAAAGTTTCAACATTCCTCAGAATGTAAAGACAGATAAGCGGTATGAAAACCTTCCAGCTGTGTTTTCCGTTGTTGCTGCAGCGGTCTGTGTGACGGCGGGAGCAGAGGGCTCTGTGAGCGGCCGGCCGGCCGGCTTGGCGCGCAGGCTTCCCGTCGCCACTTCCTCAACTCCGAAAACTTTGGAGCACATTTTTGTTCCGGCATATTCTAAATCTACACAGTTGATTTCTCACCTCAGAACTTCTCAGAAGTGGATTTAGTGATGAAATAAAGTATGAAAATTGTCAAATATAAAACTTCCTGTTGCTGACCTCTTGTCTGGCGCGCGCAATGATGACGCAGAGAATAGTGAATATTCTCTCTGACCAATCAGCAGTCTGCTGTGTTTTCACGTCACATTTTAGTATCGCCTCAGCTCACTTGGAACCTCGACAGAGGTGACACGAAAAAAAATTACCTGGAAGCAGCTACAGGTACAACTTTTTCACGAAGGCGAGTGGAAGCAAGTCGAGCCGGTACCCTGCTGTGGAAAAGGGGCTATACTGTACACAGATATTTAGATTAAGACACTTCATTCATTCAGTCTGACATCGTGTCAATGTTAGCCCTTTTATTTTTTCTTTTGCCAGTCCGCAGCGAGTGATGTCTCTATCCCACCGTCATTTTCAGTCAGAACAGAGGATGTGCTAGAACTGTAGCATTGGTTATGGGAAAAATGAATGGGACTTCAGATGGTGATTAAAAGGTGTGGGACCAGGCTACAAATACAGATCCAGGTGACGAAACAACCTCACCTCAATGTCCATTTAGTAGCTGTTCTGGAGCTTTCAGTCGTGTCACTTCTCTTCCACGTTGGCTTAAAGGTTCAGAGATTTTTTTGGGGGGGGGGGGTTAAAGTTGAAGGTTTTTTTATACTCAACTTTTAACCATACCTTTTATTAAGTCCTTAAAGTGCTTAAAAATGTATATGAATATTCCATGATAACTAGGCAAACTCCATCTGCCTGTGAAGATGTGATATCATCAAAGTGCCGGAGCAGCTACTAAATGGACCTGAATGTGAGGTTGTCAACTTCTGTTTTCAAGATTGAACTTTGAACCTTGACTGAACATGCAGTTCCTTCGAGGAACCAAGAATCCCCCATTTGAGTTACAAAATGATTTTGGCACTCCAACATCTCTTGAATGATGTATGATGATAACAGCCATGATGATACTTTTGTTTAGTTATTTACTGAAAGTTAAAATATGCAGAGATTTCTCTGTTGTTAGGGTGGGGAACTGTTAAGCCTTAGTGTGAGATCACTTGGCAGTGTATGCTGAAAAACACCGCAGGCCTCCAGGTTTTAAAAAATCCTTGTTGCATAACAATTCTCATATAAAGTTTGAGGGGAGGAGGTTTATTGATTCTGCTCCTGTGAATCCCTCTGGGTGTCCAAAGAGAGGAAATATCAAATTATGAATATGGGGCAGATTCTTTCGTTATTCAGCTTGTAAACCACGAGACGGCTGTTTTGTTTTTTTTTTAAACTGGAGATCAATATTGTGAGTCTCCGAGGAGAACGTGAACAATCAGCACCATACTGTAGCTGCAGCTGCACCCAGGAGGATGTTCACAGCTCCTTGTTCTCTGGACCTGATACGGAGCAGCAGCTTCAGCACTTTTTGTTGTTGTTACATTCTGCCTGCAGGAAGCCTAGCTCGTTTGCTCTCTCATCCTTTTATTAATTAACAGAGCTTGATATGGTATATGAAAGCAGACTGACAGAGTGATGGAAACAGAGTGCCGGTGGCAGAGAGAGAGGACTGATCAGGTTTTCCTTCTTCTTTAGACTCTTTTTCTCACTCTGTTCTCTCCTCTTCACAATGGATCCAGTGATTATGAATAATGCACAAGACTGACTTTTTAAATATTCAGACATTTCAGGGCAAGTTATTAACAGAATCAGTTTTTGACATGAGCAGAACTTAATTAAAATGTGTTTATTGGGGGGGGGGGGGGTCCACAACAGAGGCTGCTGTGGCTGGCTTTGAAATGCAAATATTCGCAGAGGCGCCCATTATGGAACCAGATGAATACTTTTCTGGCTGCAACTCAACAAACTGTTTTTGTTTTGTTTTTTAAAGATGTTGTGTTTTTTTTTTTAGTGGCCCAGTTTATCCCTTTTGCACAACCAAGACTTCTTAACAGCCCAAGGGGACTCTTCTTTGTTCATGCTATTGTTTTATAAGTTTATGTCCCCAAAGTTCTAATTTGTAAGTTAATTTTTAGATTAAAAAAAAATGGAGATCCAGTTTAGTTTCCACTGTGTTTCATGTTTAGCATTCTGTCCTGACCTTTGAACCTTCGATACAATCTGATCTTTTTCTTTTTTTAACAACCACGGCCATCATCATACATTTGTCACATAATCAGTCCATCATTTGCCAGTTTAATTATTCTACTAGTCAAATGTTGTGAATGGAAAACAACCCCTAAATGATAAAGTAGCTGATGGGGGTAAAGAAGGCAGCCACAGCTAAAATATTAAAGTCACATCATCTGACCCCGACGCTCCCCAGCTGCCCCCCTCTAACGCCTCTGCCTCCTCGCTCCCTGTCAGATGTGGCTGAAGCCCGTCAAACGGAAGGACATTCCCGAGAGGATGTGTTACTGTCGCCTGTCTACAAGACCAGCGAGCGGCGTGGCACCCTGTCCACCACCGGCCACTCCACCAATTATGTCATCGCCATGACGCTCAACTCCAACGTGCCGGCCGAACACTGGATCAGGCGAGGGGTAGCACTGCTCTGCCAGCTCAGCTCCTAGTCTCTGTTCATCTCACACACACGTGTAATTAAAAAGAAAAAGAAAACACGGTCTCTTTTTTTTTTTTTTAATACAGTACATAAAAATCTAACTGAATATAACAATGACACGTACGGCAGTATTGTTGTGAAACAATAGCACTGGTGTTGTGATGATTCGGTTGACTGTGGATAAATGAAGTACTACTGTGTGTGCATTGGTGTATAAGACAACGGTATTATTAGCGATAATTGATTTCACCATGTTGCACATTGTTTCAGACAAGCTTGATGGCTAACTGCCGAAATATTTTCAGACCACGCTGATAACCTACCATAATGCACAGAGCTATAACAGCTCTTCCAGCTGCCATGCTACTACAGTAACTCAGCTGCACCTTGTACATTTTTTATTCATATGCATCGTTCACTGAGCCTTCACGTTTATTTAAGAGTCAGCTTTGCTAAACCTGCTGCTGTCAGAACGCAAACTGAAGCAGGACACGGATGGCGAGCGGCGCAGCGCGAGGCAGAAGAAGAATGTTACTGATGGATGGTGTTATGCTGTTGTGGTTTAACAGCTGTACACCAGTTGCATCTGTAACATTTATAGCAGAACCAACACAGATCAGAGTCCAGGATCTTTTCAGAGTTTATTTTTCTTTCGTAATGGGGAGAATGTACAGACAGGCAAACAGCAAAGAAGTCACATTTTGCATTTTATATCCAGATTGCTAAACAAATCTACATACAACAAAGCAAAAATGAGAACAATCATGGGCCTTCATTTTACAGACAATTCTTTGCCCGATAAACAGTGAAGAAACTTTGGGGCGTAGTTTCTTTAAGTGTCACTAACTCTTATCGAACACTTGACAGTACAGATTTGATTTAAATTATACCGATAATACAGGAACTCAGGAGAAATACTGTTTCAAAAAATGTCACAATCAAAATTAATATTGTAGAAAACAACTGAATAAATGTCAAACTTATATTTTATCGAAAAAATGATGAACTTTACTTGGTGTAAGAGCAAACTGAAGATACATTCAGGTCCTGTGTGCACTAACATTAAATATGAAGATGAAAATAATAAAATGCCTGCAAAAGTAAAGAACTGATGCATAAGGTGCGTACTCACACACACGTGAATCATTTTTCAAAAAGGCTCATAACACCGGTCACACCCCAAAGAACATCTCACGATCTTCACACGGACTTAATTTAAAAAGTAACAAAGGTTGTCGATACTTTAACTTTGCAGTACAAAGAATGAAAATAAATTTACACTCGACACAACGTCTGTACCGTTTCACTCATGCTTCATGCATGATTCTGTCAGACCAATCACATGACTTCGTGACTGACGATGATTTACAACCAGTTAAGACATAGACGATGGATGTCACACAGTGACAGGATAAATGAAGCCACACACAACATCTGTGTGCTCCAGCAGCTGAAGCTAGGCTACCTAGCTTAGCGTGTGAGCCGCAGTACAGCCAATGGAATGTCAGGGCTAAAAGGGAAGAGGGGGGGGGCGGGTCAGTGTCAAGCACCAGCCACTGAAAATCCACAGTTTTGGCACAGGGGTCAGAGTCAGCAGAGTAATGATGATGTACATCCTCAGAAAGCTACCTGAGGAATGCTTGTAAAAAGATCAAAATAATAATCTTTACCACATGGTTTGATAACGCGGGTTAAACATCCAATAGAAGTGCTGTGATACAGGAGTACTGTCTTTTGCTCGGTCTGTCTCAGATTGTGAGGAGGCTCGTTGATTCCTTGACAAAAGTACTCACCAAATAAATTTTTAGCAGGAACAAACGTTTTAGCTGCTGCACTACTGACACTATAAAGACCTCCTGTAATTACAGTATAGGAAACAAAACTGCATTAGTGTGACAAATCAACCTCCTGCTGTAATTAAATGTCCACTGCAGGGCGGTCCGATTGGACAACGCAGCTTTTAGCACCTTAAATACATCTAGTAAACTACAACACTTTGATGAAGACGGGAATAACTAGGTTTTGGGAATTCACATTTTCAAGCTGCTGATTCTTATAACGAAAGACATAATTTAAAAGACCTAACAAGGATATGCCTCCTTTTGCCTACAGATTGTCAAACCCTTAAAAAGAACTGGTCAGACATTTGTGTCATCTAGTTTCTAAACAAAAACAGTCATAAGGCTTTCTAGTTTGTAAAGGCTTTGGCAGCTGTGTTAGCTATCACTATGAGCTACAAAGGTTTAATAATCCCAAAGATCAAATCAGACAATAAAATATAACTCTGAAGTAATAAATGGAGAAAGTTGTTGCAAAAAAAAACAAACAAAGTCAGGGGAACGCTTTACTATTTTGACACTGCAGCTTCTAGCCGTCAACACACTTTGCAGGTGAAGCAACACGAGCTAAAAGGCTTATTCCAGACGTAGCAGCTAGCTAAAGTGAGTTCTCCGTCTCTGTAAGGACACGGTGACGGTGTGTGGAGCGGCGGCGGTTCTGCTGCTCCAGTGGCCAGGGCTTGGCACAGAGAGACGCGAGATGTTTCATACACAGCGTGACGACATCTAAAGCCGATGATGGATGGCGGGCGGAACACACACCACAGATGTACGAGGCATGGATGACGGGACACAGTTAAGAGTGGATAAGAGACAAGGAGGTTGAGGGGGGTTGGAAGGATACGGCGACAACACATTAACAGGTGACGGTGCATAGGCGGCGAGCTGCTGGGCCGTGACAGCTGCCTCTGCAGGAACACAGGCGTCCTGCACCACCTTCACAACCAACAGCTCTTCTTTTGATGGGAGTTTCAGACCAGTTCAGAGCAGAGGAGGTGTTTTCCTGCTGGAGTGCATCCCTCGCTCTTCTTTAATCCTTCATTCATTTCATTCTCTTTCCTTTCTTTCTTTTTTTTTTTTTTTTTGCTTCGCAGGGAGCAGACAGATTGGAGCTGACGGAGGAGAGGTGATGGAGGAGCAGAGTGTTTATAAGCTACTGCTGAATGTTTGGAATGGAGGCACGGGTCATGAATGAGACTCACGTTGCATGCAAGACTGGGCCGTCGCAAACAATGCATGTTAAGGCCAAGAAGAACAATATTGTCCACCCCCCTCTCCGCAACCATCCCCAGCCTCTAGTCGAAGCCAAAATCAAAAACGATTTGGTCTTCAAAGATGGCGATGAGCAGCATGATGCTGAACCCGGTCAGCAGGCCCAGGTTCTGCAGCATAAAGTGTCCCAGCTGGCAGCGCTTGTGGTCCTCACTGTCCCCGTGAAGCATTTCTGGCAGCTATGAAAAGAGACAAAGTAACCAGTTGGGTTGAATTAGCAATGCAGACCAGGAGGCAGAGAGAAGAGGACTGACTGTCTGTGTGGGAGAGGAGACGGTGAAAGTTAAGCTGGTGGTGTTGGGGGGGACAATTACCACTCTGGGGCTGTCGAGTGCGGCGTGCCAACTTACCATATCCACCAGAGCCACATAAAGGAACATGCCGGCAGTGATGGCGAAGATCCAGCTGGTGACATTGTGTGTGTACTGGCCCACAGCTGTGCCAATCACCATGCCAACGTAGGCCATGAGGGCGGACAGCAGATTGTAGACAATGGCCTGCTTCACTGACATCCCCGCTTTCAGCAGCACCGCAAAGTCACCTGTCAGCCAGGAGAGACACACGCTCATTTAAACACCGTTAAAGCAATTCCAATGCATCCGTCTCTTATTCTGACACACAAACCCCTCCCAACATGCAACACTCCTCATTCTCTCTCACTCTCCGACGGGTCACCAATGATTCTCCTCTTTCACAAGTTGTTTATGGAAAGTTAAAAGTGTGTAATGCCGCAGCAGTGACAGCAGTGTGTCCAATTTCTGTTTACAGTTTGCAAAGAGACAAGCACTCTGCCGCATATAAACCCCTCCATGAGTCGCTTGGCACATGTCGCGCTGTGTTCTTTACTTTTCCTGTCTATTCTGTGACGGGGGTGGACTCCTTCAAAGCAAACTCCCTCCGTGCGTCTGCCACTGTTACGTGTCTTCGGGTAGGTGAAAAACAGACCAGGAGCTGCTCTTTCTAAGAAATATGTCTTTAACTCCCTCCTGATAAACTTATGATTACATATGCATGCCGTAGCCTCTCTAGCCTCTTCAATCATTGCCGGGGCAAATGCGGGAAGAGGCCCAAGTCTCAGCGGAAACGCCCTGGATTTGGAGAGAGAGATGAATACTGAGAAGGGGGTGGCCTACATTTCCTGCACAGCGTAACAAGCGGCCTCTTTTCCTTGCTAATTACCACAATGAATATATTACCACTCTGCTCTCATCCATCAATCAAACCCGGAGGAAAGAGGGGAGAAGTTAAAGAGAGGCAGCCCGCACACACCTCCTTTCAATGGCCCTTTTTTCCCCTCTTCAACTTACTCTGGTGTTTCCGGCCTCCCCGGTTACAATCCGTCAGACTCTCAGACACGCCTGCCGCCGCCTCATCTACCGCAATTAACGCACCCATCACTGCCAATTAGCTTCACTCTGGGTGGTTAAAGAACCCTCATAATCATCATCTTTGCCATCCAGCTGCCAGTCGGGGGGACGGCTTTTGTGTTCAAGAGGAGCCGAGAGGTGCACTTGTCAAACTGCGGGGTTTGTCTGACGAGCGGCCCTACAGGGGCGAAGGCACGGCAGCAAGTGCTCCTGAAGAACGGGCGCTGAATCAACAGGAAATTTGCACGGGGAGAGACTGATCTCGCAAGTCTCCACATGCCGCTTGAGACGGGACTTGTGCTGCAGTTAACCATCTGGAAGCTCGAACACAACAGAGTAAAAATAGCAATAAAAGGACAAAAATGTTGGACCAGATTCAAAGCTCGTAGCCGTCTTCTTCCATACCATCCTGAAGTCTCCCAGATACGGCAAATAAGTGCAGATTTCTCAGCATTCATAACAGCAAAATGCTCAACATCACAGACATTAGAGCAATTTTTCCCCTAAACCCAACAATAAGAGTAGGACAGGATGCTGCTAGTCAACACAAGGGGGAGCAGGCAGACAAACGCAGGCTATTATTCACCGGTTCACACTCTGTAATTGACACTACTCTATTCATCAAGCACACAAACGAGGCATGGAAAGTGCACCTCGACGAGACACATCATTAGTACTGATCTGCTGTGGATGGCCCTTTGTCTGTCTTTTTCACCCCACTCTCGCCACCTCTTCCTCTTACTATAAACAAACAGGCAGAGGACGGCACTGCGGAGTGAAAAAAAAGAAAAAGAAAAAAGAAAGCACTGCTCGAAACAAAAACGCTCACTTTTGCTGAATCAAATTGAATCAAAAGGGTCCTCGGAGAGAACAGATTTGAATGCAAATGAATGCAGCAGCAGATGTGCGTCTGTGAGTCTGACTGTATTGAACAATGTGTGCCAGGCACGGTACATCATCTCCACTGACAGACACACTGACAAGCAATTTCGCTGCTGTCAGACAAAAGCCGTTAATCTGGTGAAAAGTACATTTTTCTTAAGAGTGATGATTATTGACACCGCTGGGTTTCAAGGGCCAGAGAGGTCGCGAGGCTCTCTCACATTCACGTTTCAGCTCAGGTAGGCAACAGGGCTGTTTTGCATGAGGCGGCGATTTAGACAACGCTGTCATTATGTGAACTAAGGTTTTTCACAAAACAGCGTCGTTGTACTTGTTGAATAAATGAAGTGTGCTGTGTAATGAGCAAATGACTTGTTTTGTTTAGTTTTTTGGACACGGTCTCTTGGGTGCGCGCCACTTACCGAGTTCATGAGGTAATTCATGGCAGAAAACAGCCACTGATGTACTGATGCCTCCCGTCAGGTTCGCACTGAATGCTGCACCTGGAGAGGTAAGAGGTTGAGGAAATGTCAGGGAAAGAAGAAAATATGAGACATAATGTGTGTATCAGTGAGCTTCAGGGCGGCTGTTTCCCCCCTGCTAAGCTAAGCTAACTGACGGCTGTTGGAGGCTTCGTATTTAGCGCTTTAGCTCCTTACTTTTATAAAGAGAAAGTATTTTATGGTAACAATAAACTAATCAAAACCTCTGTGGCGTTTCATGAGGCCTCCTGAGTTATTCACCTAAAGTGGACACGGTGCAGATAAAACACAAAATCAGAACCTCGTACCTATCGCCAGGCCGTCACTGAAGTTATGCATGCCGTCGCCCATGATGACCATCCAGGCGATGCTGGCTATCCCAGCGTCCTTCATCTCCTGGTCTGAGTGGCAGTTCCCACCGTGAGAGTGCCCGTGTCCGTGCGAGTGTCCGTGGCCGCGCTGCTTGGCCTTGCGTCCATTCTCCTTGGTGGGTGACTGGCGGTCTTGTTGGGGGTGCGCGGGCGCAAGTGGCGTCATGTTGGTGGGAGAGTCGGGCGTCTGGATCTCGGTGAGCTGCGTGTCGTTGTGCCCGTTGTCGCAGGAGACGGCGGTGCTGTCGGGGTCTGGAGAAGAGAGGAGATGTTAACGGTGACAGCCGCGGAGACAGCGCCCCCTGCAGCCAGGCGGCGGTGAACACAGTGCAGGGTCAGCCGACTGCATGACTGAACACCTCGTACCTTCACTGAGGGACTTCAGGTGCAGCCACTCTGCATCTGAGCGGCGGTTTAACTTGTGATCTGACAACTTCCTGCCGATCTTGCCCTCCTCACTCGCCTTCTTCATGTCCTGTGAGCGGAGACACAATTTTAAGCTCCATCCACAGACATTCATAACATGTCTGTATCAACAAGAAGCAAGAATATAGCAGACAAAAGCAAAGGTTTGTGAGAATTAGTGTCTGATAACAGTCCTTCAACAGCCTAGTCCGCGTCTGTTCATCTTACCCTGTGGTCTTTGTAGTGCTTAAACATGCCGATACAGTGTTCGATGATGAAGAGGAGGTAGATGCCAGCCAGCGCTGTGAGGCCCTTCCACACTCCATCGAAGGCTGTTGCCAGATCGGTTTCTTCTTCGCCCTTGGCATGCTCGCCGTGGTCGTGCTGCCCTTGAGACTGGAGACAGGAAGAGGAACAGAAGACGAATGAGAGGAGTGAGGCGCTGGGATTGCACATTTATCAGTACAGAGATTTTATTTTCTAGAGACGCGCAGATCAAATCCCTGATGCCTCTTACTGTTGAGTGTGGGTGAAGAAGAGGACGGAGGGGACATTTACTGACAACTGGTCAGAGGAAGAGCGGCTTACATATAAATATCCAGAGCTAAGTCAGAGGTTACTACTGCTCATCAGATGTATAACACTGCTGTAGAAAATGTTTAATTAATGTTGTGGCTCCAGAGGTCTCTGAGGTTGGTTAGGCGTGACCAGCAGGAACAGCAGCTACACACTTTCCATATTTTGCAAATGTTAGGTTACAGTTACAGAATTCCTTAGAGCTAAGCAGTTTTATAAGCAGCCTGGATTGAACGCAGCAGGTGATTCGAACACTCATTGTAATCACGAGTGAGGCTTGACTTGGACTCTACCCTAAAGACTTGAGCATCTCTGCCGTACACCGATTGTGCTCTGGCTGTCTGGGTTGTACTCACATGGGGCATCAGATGGAGGAGAGCGTCGCCACTGAGCGTGCCCACTGCCAGCGCCACCAAGAAGGTGAGCAGGAACTTGAAGCAGGCTTGGTTGAGGATGGGTACGAGCACCACGCCCAGCAGAGACAGCAGGCTGATGATGGTGATGGACACAAAGCCCCACAGCCACACCCACACTGGAGAAAGAGACAAAGACAGGGAGGAAGATGAGTATTATTTACTGAAGAGCGAGGTCAGGAGCTCAGGGCTCGTTAGGCGCAGCGTTTTGAAGATGTAGAAGGACTCTTCAACTGTGAAAGTCCATTAAAAAGATGTCAGGACGACACAGGACCTGTATTCAAATGCTGTCACGATTTCAGCCAGCTGGAGTAACGACTACACAAACAGCCACAGCTCCCCCCTTCACATGCGAAGGAAATCTGTCCTCCGGAGGTTTTCAATCCATGCGTCCTTGTGATGACACGAGACGTCTGAAGTAAGAAATGTGAAGAGGCATTTTGGCAGAATTCTGTCTCCTCGTTTTTCCCCCCCATTCACGACACGTGAAGCAGAAGAGAAGAAGTCAGAAAGTTACACTATCATTTAAACTGTCAGTCCACCTGTCCACCAGGACGCCGTTCAAAACAGCTTGAGAAAAACCTTCTGATTCGTTCGTCACAGAGGACAAAATGTTTAATGTCGTATGAAATTCAATGTCACGCCAAAGCAGCTGGTGCGTTTGCTAAAGCGATGCAGGGTCCTTCACTGCTGACATTCAGCTAAAGGACTTCTACTGACTGAAACACCTCACTGACTGCAGCGAGGTGTTTCAGGAGTGTGTCACAACAAACTAATGCTCCGTTTATATGATACAGAAATAAACCTTCTTTACAGATTTAGGTTATGTAGGTTATTTATGTTTTAAAAAACCATGAAACGTATTGTCAGATCAAAGAGTTTGAACCAAAAGAACAACGAGCACCAAACAAACAAAAAGAGCCGAAGCTTCCACCGAGCCGGAGGGAAAAAATGACTAATAACTGTAAAATCACACCGGCAGACGCACTTCCTCTCCTCATCTAATCGGCCCCAGGTGGTGTCGCTTGTGAAGAGATGATGTGAAACATGTCTAATGCCTGACAGAGTGGTCTTTAGAGAGACTGAATCAAGCTGTTACTGTCCCATTACCCAGCTGCAGGATTAAAAAATATTACAAAAAAAGTCTCTCCCCGGGCAGCCGTCTCTCCGCCCAGAAAACAGGAGGCTGGAGGAGCTCCTCCGGGGGCAAATTTTAACTGAAGAGGAAGGCCCTGATGAGTGCTGATTACACGGCCACTTGTCATTAGCTTTTGTGGATCCCAAAACCCTGACTCTCATTGCCGGTTTACATGTGACCTCTGGGAGGAGATCTGGTTGGTGTGTCCTGTACGGACGCCTCTACATGAGCCTTGTCACCTGTCGGTATGTGTTGCATTTACCTGCTGGTGACGGAGTCTTGCATCTGACACCGTGACGCTTCCTTTGAAGGCCCAAGACAGACTGTACAGGCCACAGTGAGCGCCGTACTCACTCAGGTCTCGACTTGAACTATTTGAATTTAAACCAGGTACAATATTTTGACAGCTTTCTCATGCCCCTTTCTTAATGTAACCGCCAGCATGTAAATGCAACACACAAAAGTCTTGGTTATGTAAATAAATGCAAAAACAATTGTTAATATGCACAAAGCACTTATATGTTGGGTGATATCTGTTTGTATTTTTAAAGCAAATACATTTGCCAGCTTTGACAAATCATAATGCACCTTTGTAAATCTTGTTTACTGCATATATTTTGGATACAACTGCTAAAATGTTTGAATAAGGTATGCATAGAGCATATTTGGTCTGAGTTTGAGACTGATCCTGTATTAATATCTGATAAAGATAACTCCTTAATGTGCATTGGTAACACAGAATAAATCCAGGATCTGTGTCCCCACTAGGTTTGATAGCATTAATGTGACCTAAAGTCTCTACATGTGCAGCATTTTAGATTGTTTCTTTATGTTAAACCTTAAAAGAAATGCTCCCTGCTTCATATGTAGAGCAGTAGACCACGACTAGCATCTGCAGTTATAAAGTGCCAGTTAATAAACTGTACGTATTGTGCAGCCTCATCGTCCAACTGAACAGGCTGAAATAATTTTCTCATCATAGATGAAAAGTCATCCTAAGTAACATTCTTATTGTTACCACTATTTTCAATGTGCTTTACAAAAGTAAGTGACTGCTGAGAGGCTACTGTATATTAGCCAGACAGGTCTTTCACGCTCATCTATTCTAACTCATTACTCTTATACAGCTGTGGTTTTGTGCGTGTGTTGACGTGGTGGTGTGCAAGGGCGCAAGAAGGCGGCGATAAGGGAACCAAAGAGAGGAGAAGGAGACTCACTGGTCTGTGTCTTCTCTCCAATTACGCATCTCCTGTGAGAAAAATGGCCCTGGGTGTCGCTTAGGCTCTCCTAATTGGCACAACGTCAAACGAGAGAGGAGTGGGGACCAGGAAGAAACCAACTGCAAGTTTTCTGAGCTCCCCATGGCTGCCAGCAGGAGGTAAATGAGAGGTAGCTTCGTGGCGTGTGATGCCTACGGTTGAGTCTTGGTGCACCACTGCAGACAAATCTAGTGCCTTTAGTTTTCCACTAATGAGGAGCCATTCCTGGCCTTTTGACCCGTTCGTGCTGTCTTCCTCGTCGTCATTACCCTTTTTACGGCTGTTTTCAGTGGTGACACACTGCTGCCGGAGGCACGTGTGATGCAGGTGCCTCCAGAGGACTGTGTGGTTAATAATTACAGATTTAAGAGGGCGAACAGTTAGGGAATTCCTCCAATCTCACGGTTAAACTTAAGTGCCAGCAGCTTTGACAGTGATTTGTTTTCACAAATAGGCCACTTTCTAACACTAATTAAAATACATCCAGGCTGTGCAGAACATCTTATGACCCCACACGCGGTGTTGTCCTTTGTTGTTTACAGTGAAAGCTTCCAAACTTCTTTCTAATTTGCAACTACTTGAAAACTAAAGATTACGCTGCAGCCATGAAACCGAACGTGAGAACAAATAAATGCAGCAGGTGTAAATGCAGCGTGGTCAGATTGATTATCACACAATGCATTTTCATTCCAGGTGGATATGTGTTATTTATTCCTAGAGATTTACACGCTCGACCCACTGATACACACACACACACAGTATGATAATACATCAGTCTTAAGAAAAAGCAGCCTTTTCTATGCTTTGCTATTTTTGCGTGCAGGAACTGTGATAAATGGTCCTGGTTTGCTTTGTAGCAAACTTTTATGTCTTTATGAGCGTTATTTCATGACATGTAACTCATTAACTCTAAAACACAGATTTTATGATTTGCATTCTCATAAACCTAGAAACACTGTGCAGCAGAGCGGGGCTTAACATTGACCTTCATTCTTTAGAGCTGATCTTTCTGGCTTTTCTTTTTGAACATAATTAATTCAGGGATTTGGAACTCATAGCGAGGCGAGAGAGATCACCGCAGGCAAGACG